GAAAGAAGTGAAGAAGCATTAGAAGAAGAGAAGAAGCAACAACAAAAGAAGAAGAGGGCGAGGATGGACTTCCAACTAGTTCAACATGGATAAACTTTCCTCATTTTGAGCCATTTGTGTGTTATATTTGTACTGAGATTTGTTAGTGGTTAGGATAAACTATGAATTATTTTTTACTTAGGACTGAAACTGTGTTCAGATCGTGTGTGTTAAGATCACCACTAGTGAGAAGTGATGATAGCACCTTATATAATTTGCAACTAAACACTGTGTAGTTTGTGCACCCACTACAACGCAAGCAACCAAATGGCAGGTCAATATTGGTTCCCTCATGAGCCAACCTAGATACACACAACCAAATTATGTGTAGATGATGATTTTTAGTCTGCTTTATCTCAGCCAAGCCCATCTTAGACACACATGCAAAGAGGAAACAAACTCAACCAAACATGTCCTTGGACATTGGCTGCGCCCATCTTAGACACACATGCAAAGAGGAAACAAACTCAACCAAACACGTCCTTAGACATTGACCGCGGCAACTCACAACAAAATTTATTTGTTATTATAGGGCATTATTCATACTATTTGGCTGAAAAAATGTTTTTTATGAAAAAAAGTCAAAGGGGATTTTTGTTTTTGTGAAAAAATTTCACAAGTACTCCCTCCGTCCCATATCATCTTGAGATTGATGAAGTCGTCGTAGACAGAGGCGGGAGAAGATTTGATTTCTTGTGCAATCGGGACGGATTGCACGGCGAGGGCAGCCCAAAGGGAGTGATTTTCATTCGGAGTCTGTCTGTTGAGAAGTTGTAATCCGGATCCTCCCCCCTCTCCTCTGAATAATTTCTGAGAAAAGATTAAAATCAACCGACTGATTTCTTGCATGGCATCAGCCGCCCCCTCCGTCGTTCGATTCCACCCGCGCGTGTTCCGTGACGAGAGCGCCGCATGCAGGTCCCCACTACTACTACGCCTGTACTAGTACATCTCATTTTTAAATTCTACGCCTAGTACCTTTTTGCTGCTATGCATGACGTGGTGATGTTTGCATTAGCATGTACTAGTTACTTTGCTGTAAACCCGGGCAAACGTCGGGCCGGGCCGGGTTTCGGGCCGGGCTTATAAAAGCCCGACCTTCATTTCCCAAGCCCGAGCCCGGCCCGAAGCCCGAAATACTCCCTATTTTCAAGCCCGAGCCCGACCCGAAGTCAAGCCCGAAGCCCGAAAGCCCGGCCCGAACGCTGTTTTTTAGTGTATGCACGTGCAAGCCCGGCCCGAAGCTCGAAAGCCCGGCCCGAAATACATAAAAAATGAAGCCCGAGCCCGGCCCGAACTATCTTCCGGGCTGCAAAACTAGGCCCGAGCCCGGCCCGAACGTCAAGCCCGGCCCGGCCCGGCCCGGGTTTTTCGGGCCGGGCTCGGGCCGGGTCGTCGGGCCGGGCTGCCCATGCCCGGGTTTACTTTGCTGCTACTCCCTTGATGGAGTGTTAGGGCATGGCCAACGGGCTGCCCCATGGTGTTGCCCCGCAGGTCCAGCTCGGCTCGGTGCCTGCAAATCAGGTTCGGATAGTCCTCTGCACAAGAACCAGTCTCTTGCAGAGGAAGTAGCTGCTCTGTGAGAAAAGTAGGATAAAAGGTGAAGAACGAAGGAGGTAGAGACGTAGACAAGAGAGAAGGACTGAGATGGGGACCACTAATGCGGGGTCTACCGATGGTTGCCTCCGTTGGGTGAGGAAAAATGTAAACGGTAGCTTTAATATTTTAAGTCTAAATGAAGGCATGGGGCAGCATGAAGGTGATGCCTCCATTGTACATGCCCTTACCATTCTTCTAAAAATAGAGTGGGTGTATCCTCTACTAGCAAGAATAATTATTGTGGGCATTTGTAATGGCCACGCTTCGCTGCTGCGAATGGGTCGCGCAATGCTGCCGTCCTTGTCGTGATCGGGATGTGCGATGCTGCAATAGCCAGTCGCAGTTGCTGCGTATGAACACGCGGCACTGCAATGGTCAGTCGTCGTTGATGCGATCAATACACGCGACGCTGCAATGGTTGGTCGTAGTTGCTGAGAGTGGGACACACGGCGTTGCAAGGACCGGTCATCGTGGTTGCGATCAGAACGTAGGATGCTGCAAGGACCGGTCGTTGTCGCTACTATCGGACGCACGATGCTGCAACAGTCGGTTGTCATTGCTGCGGGTGTGCGGTGCTCAAAGGACCGGTCGTCGTTGTTGCGATCGAAACACACAATGTTGCAAGGACCGGCCATTGTCATTGCGATTGGGTGCACGACATTGCAATGGCTGGTTGTCATTGTTGCAGACGCGTGGTGCTGCGATGGCCGGTAGTCGTTGTTTGCGATCGAAACGCATGACGCTGCAAGGACCGGATATGCATGACGCTGCAATGGCCGGTTGTCATTGCGGTGGACGTATGACGTTGCAATGGCTAGTAGTCATTGTTGCGGACGCACGACGCTACAATGGTCGGTCATCGTTGTTGTGGTTGAGACATGTGACACTGCAACGGTTAATTGCCGGTGCTGCGAGCAAGGTGTGAAATGCTGCAAGAGAGGACCTCCACTGCCTCAAGGGACAGTTACTATTGTTGCAAGAGGGGCGTGACATGCTGCTGAGGTCGGCAGCCAAAACCGAAAAGCCCCGCCACCGAAGCTCCACGCAAGTCGACGTTAGCTTTAGCAGTGCAACTAAGCCGGACGGCCCAACCGTAACAAACTTCTTCCTGCGTGTGAGTCACTACTCGTTTATCACGACCTTTGTAAATACTTGCTACATCCTTTGCATTTTTTATGCTTTTTCCTAGAGTTCTGCGGTGTATACCTCATTGCAATTTTGTAAAGAAATTGCGTTGCATAAGATTGTTTATTTTAACACTTCGTCGGGGAGTTGTTTGTACGCTATGGGGCCCAGCAACGTGACCCTCGCATGTTGCTTTTGAATCACATGCAAGCTTCGTACAGTGTGTGTGTGTGTGAGCACCTATTTGAGTGGTCCCAAACGCCCCAAGGTCGTGAAAAGATGCCAATCATCACATCCGACTGCTCCGCGCTCTGTCACCGAAGCTGCTAGGAGACGTCAGATCTGAGCAGATCAAACGGTGGTCGAGGCGGCTTAATTTTGGCTGTTATCAGCCGATTGATCGGTAGCAGCCGCCATAATCTCCTCCCTTTTGAGGAGACTCGGCCGAGTCGGAGGAGGAGGGGCCGGCTATCGATCTACTCCCTCCGTCTCAAATTATTTGTCGCCAAAATGGATGTATCTAGAATTAAAATACATCTAGATACATTCATACGTGCGACAAGTAATTCGGAATCTACGGGTCCGACCCTAGCTATCAAAATAGATGAGCTCGCGACGGCGACGACGTGGCGGAGGAGCTCAATCCTCATCGGAGGAGTCGTGGTCGATGAAGAACTTGGTTTGCTCCGCCTTCATGACGCACAGGTCCGCCTCCTTGGACGCGTGCGCCTGCAACGCCTGTTTGGAGGAACATCTGCTCGTACTTGAGCTCGCGGTGACG